ATACTTTTAATCCCCAATTTTTTCACCCTGATCTTGGGAATAACCTAGGCATTGTTCTCTTCACCTTAAAATAATAATATAATATTCTGTTGAAATAATTTATGTTTAGCAAAAATAATTTTAGGTTGGTAAAAATCAATAAAGTTAAAGAACATACTTCCTCCGTTCTAGTAATATTCAACAACTGAAATTTTACACTATTCATCACGCTTGTTTGAGCACATATTATGATTTATACATTAAGTAAAATATAGTCATGTGGGGTCTTGTTACATCCGTCTCGTAAAATACTTTCATAATATCAACTTTTTATAATTTTTACTCTTATATAATTATAGATATTAGCATATAAAATGTGTTTTGGGATGCGTAATTTCATCCTTGTTGCAATATTTGTGGAACAAAGGAAGTATATAACATAAAATCAATAAAAAATATTTCAATTTAGTATTAATTTTGAGTCAGTAAAATTAATTTTAGTCCAAAAAAAATAATTTTGATTCAGCAAAAGTAAGGTGAAAAGAAAGGGGCCTTATTGTGTGTTCTATTCATTAGATTTTCACTTATCAGAACTTATCCAAACTTAATTGAATTTATCTTTACTTATTAGACCTTATAAAACTTTTTTTTAGTTGTAATTTAAACTTATATTATGCACCTTGTCTAAACTTATTTTTTCTTGAAGTGGGCTTATGTGAACATATTAAACCTAAAATAAGCGAAAATAAGGTGAACAAAACAGACCCTTGTCATGAGTTCTCAAGTCCAATAACAACTAGAATAAGGTTAATAAGTTCAAAAAAAGATAAGATAATTTCGTAAAAGTGAAAATCATATGAATTTAAAACAGTGTTACTTCCTCACCTTATTAAAAGTATGACTAAATTTTTAAGAAAGGTTTGCTCTATTTAGTTGATTTTTACTGAACTAAATTAATCTAATTTTTTTTTATTTTTGAGAAAAAATTAATCTAATTTTATTTCATCTTATTAGTATTTATCTAAACTTAATGTGCTTTTTTTCTTAACCTATTTATTTATTTATATAAATTTATCTTATTAAATTTAACTCTACATATTTTATCCAAACTAATTCTAACTTTTTAGATCTTCTCAAAACTTATTTTGCTTGTAAATTTAGCTTGGAAAACCCTTGTTAACCTTTATATATGCATTGACAAACATACAAAAAAGTGGGAAAAACTTAAAGGACTTGAGAGAGTATAAAGTTACTTTTCCTGAAATGAGTTAAAATAAGGTGAACATAACAAATTAAAGTCTTATTGTGTTTATTGAAACTTATTACTTATGTAAATAAAGACCTTGTTGTGTTTACCTTCTATATCAAATGTTTACATAAGTTTAGAAAAAAACTAAATTCAACTTTAAATTTTATTTAAGCTTATTTACAATGTTTTTTTTTTTTTTAATTTACAATAAAAAAAAGAAGTTAAATTAATTAAAATAAGTTTTTATTAAACAAAAAAAAAGTTTAATAAAAATAAGTTGTATGTATTGTTTAGATACCGTTTTATTTAATTCATGGTTGATATTGTGATTTTCACCTTCGTCCTTGCAATCCTACATATCACACCATCTTGGGGCCCATTATGGGGTCGGGATTGGGAGGTCCCTCATTTGACCCGACCCACTGATATCCTAATTATAGATAAAAAATAAATGCAATAGTGAAATTTTCTTTGAAGAGTAGAAGGGTGGGTAAGGAAATCATAGATGTGATCAAATGCACCCGGCTCGATTTTGGGCGGGCCGTGGGCTTAAAAATCATTTTTTTGGGCGAGTCATGGGCAAGCACACATATTAATAGGTTTTTTTTTTCTCTTTTTGCCACGTCTCGAAAAAGCAAAATTTTTCGGGTTTGGGCAAGCATTTTCGGCTCGAACTTTGACTTGGCTCGACTTGTTGGAAGACTTTTTTAGGTGTCATTTTGACCCAAATCTGACCCGTCCAGTGATCACCTATAGGGAATCTTTACCCACAAACACCCTCACTTGATACCCCGTCCGTTTTTAATTACTTGTTACATTTCTCCATGCGCTAAGTTTTAGGAGAAATTGGAGAAGTAATCAAATATGGAGATAGTGGGGTTGGTGGAAGAATAAAAAATTGTAAAAAGCAAAATTAGTTGAGAGAATTAGAGAAAAAATAATATGAAATTGATAAAATATGATTTCTGTTGTGTCCACTAGTTGAGAGAAATAAATTAAATATTATAATAACTTTCTAAATAAGGAAATTGAGCAAGTAACTAAAAACGGCTGAAAATAAAAAGTGAAGCAACTAATTAAAAACGGAGAGGGTAGGATTTAAACCCCAAACCAAAGTAAGCCAACACCTAGTTAAATTCGTTGTGTTATTAATTTGTGGTTCATGGAGGCGGATGTACCATGCGCATGGTACATCCGTTCAAAAAAAAAAAAATCGAAAAAAACATTGTATAGAAATGTAAAGAACATTTAGTTAAAGTGAAAAAAACATGGCATAGAATTGTAAGGAACATATATTTTAAGTGAAAAGAACATATTGTTAAAATGTAATAAACGTGGTAAAAGAACATAAAAGATAAAAAAAAGAACATAAAGCTATTAATAACAATGAACATGACACTATTTTATAAAGAACATACTATTAAATAATATTCTTTATCTCCGTGTTATTTGATTGTCAGTGAAATGTATTTTTATTTGTGACATAATATTCATTGTTTATTGTGAAATGTTCTTTAAATTTTGTCTTTAGATTATGGTGGGTGAATATACATAATGTTCATTACATAATATTATCATATTCTTTATTAATATTATGGATGTTCTTTACATATACAAAAAGAACATAAAAAACTTGATGTTCTTTGTAAAACAGCTATATGCTCTTTACAAAACAATTATACGTTGTTTATAAAACAACTATATATTCATTCCGACTTTTATTAAAAATCTGGATGTACCAAGCATGTTAGATCCGTCTCCACGAAGAAAATTTCATTGTGTTATAGTTATACTTTATCATGCGATACACTCATACACGTACCAACAAAGATTGTAATACGCGTGAACAGTCAAACTTGAAGGCATCTCGATTTTATTAATTTAGCTCCGTATTTTCCTTCCAATTTATGACGCAAAAAATCAAACCTAGAATTATCAATTGGAGTTCATGACATACAACTGTAATTAATAAACAAAAATAATTGAGGAATTTGACTGTGCAATACGGACTCGTAATGCGGGTAGGCCCGAATATGGAAAGAATCCACAGTTCCACGTAGATTTTTCAACATCAATTCTTGGGTCCAATCCAACCTAAGTCCAATATCACTTGCTCACCTTGTTCATCCGTCTTTATTTTTACAAAAATTTCATTGGTAGGTAACGAAAAGGTTTTATCGGGCCGAATTTTTATACAGATCAACACGGTCCATGTTAACAGTTAAAACCTTTAAAAATAGGAAGAATAATAAGGGGAGGACTTGAGAGAGTGTGTTTTATTCGGTAGGGGTGAGCTAATCGGATATCCAGTCAAAATTTTTGAATTCAGGCTTAGAATTGGTTGTGACTGAGTCTTAAAATTTGGAATCGAAATTAGAATTGGTTCAAGCGGGTCCTAAATTTTAGAACTTGGAATTGGAACCACCGGGTACTGGTTCTGGTTTCGGATACCCACTTATATATAATAATACTTATTTAAGTCTATTTTCATTTTAGCGTTTAAGACTTGTATTTATATATGCATTAAGCTATTTTATTTACGTTAGGTATTAATAATATATTTTTTAATTTTACTAACTAGATACATTCAACATAATTTTATTTTTAAATATTTATTTAGTTTAACATATATGTTAGATAACCGGGTACCCAACCGGTTCCAGGTCTAAAAAATCGAGAATTGGAATTGGAACCGATTGCAACCGGTTCCTTAATTTATTACTTGGAATTGGAACCACTGGGTCCAATTCCGGTTTCAGACCCGCCGGTTCCTAACCAATTCCAGTTCCAATTCCGGGTACCCGAAATTTTTGCTCACCACTATTATTTACCTGATTTTCACTTATTTAAACCTTATTAAAATTTATTTTAATTGTAATTTGAACTTGGGTAATCCTTATCAGAATTTATTTTTCCTGAACTAAACTTATCTGTACTTATTAAACTTGAAATTTGTGAAGATAAGGCAAACAGAATAGGCTTAATTCAAATTCTTCATTGGAGGCTTATTGCTTCCAAAATTACACCACTTGTATTAGAATAATTTATTTTAAGGAGTGGAGTATATTTTTTATTTGGTAGTATACCGGTTAAAATTTTAGAGGTTGTATTATATTGACTTGATTTGCATATACGTTTATGCATTGACTAAAAGTTGCACACAATTTTGCTTTGTTATAATTAAATTGGAGTGATGCATTGTGCATGTGAGCTTGGCCTTCTAGAATGAAGTATCAAGCTAAACAAAATGGCTAGTTATCAATTTAGCATTGCAAGTACAAAGTAACATTAGTACAAAAGGATTAGAGAATACGTACTAGAGTTATTAGATCAACTTATATGACTATTTGTTCTTTAAAATTATTTTAAAAACCAAAGAGTTAGAGGATCAAAGTCAACACCTATCAACTAATTAACAACCAAGAAAGTCCAATCAATTTAACCACTCTTTCAAAAAAAAAAAAACAATATTCTAACCACACCCTACTATTATTAATAATTCTAAGAAAGACTAGATTTTGACTTGAAAGACTCAAAGGTCGCAGCTCCAAAACCTTATCCCTTCAAACTTCATAAAAGTTCACTAAAATCAATTAAACTACCAATGATCTTTCTACATTACCATTCATACACGAAATACTCCGTACCATTTACAATAAGTGATAAACGGAAACAAAATCTTTTGATTTTGAAGTGTCCAAATTCCCAAACGGCCTAAAATTAGATGTGATAACCTATCAAAAAACAATTCAAAAATTTCAAATTTTAAAAGTCTAAATAAATATACGAATATATATATGAGTAGTAGTGAGACTACTCGTACTCCACTAAAAGTTAAAGAGGGAAAAGAAATTCAACCTCACAAATTAAACCTAAGAAACTAAAATTAAATTATAGGAGTAACTAGTTTGATTGAAACTACAACAAATTTAATTAAACTAAGCAAAAATATTACTACTACTACTAAAACTAAAATTACTAAAAATTAACCCCTCCTAATACTATCTATTACAACTAAACCTACCAAACCACCACTACTTGAATTGTACAAATTAAACCGGGTTAATTCAAAACACAAATCTCTCAAACCCGGTTCATAATTTCCCTCTCTAACTACTCAAAACCGTCTGAGCTAAACCGGTAACGGACTCGGTCGACTCCTTTTTCTTCCTCATCTCTAACACCTTCCGGTGACTATTGGAGTGAACCTCACTCGAAAAAGTCGGACTACAAGCCGGTCTATACTCCGGAAACAATCGCCCTGACTTGAACCGAACTCCACAAGCATTACACAATGTTTTCGACCCATTTGGACCGGCCCTCCATTGAGGAGTCTTGGTCACTTGACAATGGCTACATTTCCTTTGCACCAAAGGATTTTCTCCAACCGAAGACGCTAAACTCGGTTTTTTCTTCGGCTTTTTCATGGACCGTTTGTTATTAAATAGCAACCCCATGTATTGAACCGGTGGTGGGAATAAAAGGGTTGATACCGGCGAAGACGTTGACGAACACGATGATGCCGAATCGGTTTTTGGGGATGAACTAAATGTCCATGCCCGGTTCACGGTTGTCCTCGCCCGTTTGCTCCTTGGCTTCACCGGAACCGCTGATGGGCTTGGGATACATGACACTCGGGTCAAACCCGGTTTACTCACCGGTTCAACCCGGTTCATAAAAGTGAACCCGGCTTTTGTTTTTCGGGTCTCTGAAATTGGTTTTGGGCATGCAAGTGTTGGTGAAGGGATAGAATCGTCCATCAAATGTGACCACAATTCAAGCTCTTGTACATCATCAACCTACATAATTTTTCCATAATAATTAAAAATAAACCATAAAATTTCAATTCTACATTTCTACCCAAAAAAAAAAAAAAAATCATTTCAACCCCCCATAAAAAACATTTGAACCAAAAATTATACCGTAAAATTTTAATTTCACCCCCAAAAAATTTTAAAAAAAACCATTTTAAACCCAGAAAAATTTAGGACAAACAAAAAAATGGAGGGGGGAGTGAAATGACGAAAATGCCCTTTACCGGAATTGCAAGGCCGGGGGAGAAATTGGAGTTGGAATCATCAACAGGGTCGTGAGAGGAGGGAGAAAAGGTGGAAGAGTCTTTTTCTTCTTCTTCCTCCAAAAGCGACGAACCATTAACATCATCTTCATTCGGAAGGTCGAAAAATTCGTCAATTGAGAAGTCTTCGGCCGGTAAACCTGAAATACACCAAAAATCGTCGAAGAAATTTGGTGGGTTGTTGGTTTTCATGGGTGTTTCCGACGAGAAGTTTGATTTTAGCGCCCTTGCATTCATGCACTCCATTTTTATAATTATACTCCTAAAAAATAAATAAAATAAAATAAAACCCAACAAAATTAGACGTTACTTTTTTTATTTGAGCGTTACAGGAAAATAATTTAAATATAAATATAAATATAAAAAAATGAATGAAAATAAAAAACAAAAAAAAACCTGGTGAATTAGAATGGTGGGTTGGAAGGAAGAAGAAGAGAGTGAGAAGAAAAGAGGAGAGAGAAAAATGAAGGTGGGTAGGAGTTGGGGAAAAGAAGAGGAGAGAGAAAATGAAAGGCTAATTGAAGGGAGCGGGATAGGTGTGTGTAGGGCTGGCATTTTAACCCGAATCCATTTTTGTCCGAACTATCCGAATCCAGTGTTTGAAAATAACGGGTTATAAGTGGATGATGGATGAATGGAATGACGGATACGGATTAATTTGTTTGCCCGTTTAGGTGAGGGTGTTTTACTTATATACCCTAGATATTATTTATAGGAGTTTGCTTGTGAAGCGCCGCTCACTTCATGCTTCTCTCATTCTTTCTCACTACATGGTTTTCTCGTTCTTTTTTACTCGTGACTTTCTACAACTGTATCACTTTTTTCACCATGATTAGAGTTGTTACGGTTGTAGTGTTGTATGACTAAGCTCCGGTTTATCGCCGTGATAACAATGTCAATTACGATGTGAATGTGTATCTATATTTATTTATTATAAAACGTTTTTAAAACAGAATATGTATCACGTGTTATCTTTTTTAAGCACTATAAACATGACATGTTAGTGATATGTGCCACATGTCACATCTTTAATAAACACTACGATGACATGTCACATCCACAAAACAAATTAGATTTGACGGCTAAAAATGTTTATAGCAAGACTTGAATTCGAGATCAACAAATCTTCTATAACTATTACTAAAATAACAACCGCTGACATCATCCTTAAATCTAACTATATACATGTCAAACTGCGGTAAAAAGTTTTCCCGCCTAAAATATATGTGATGTCATCACTTTTTTTTTTCTATTTTTTTAGTTAAAATTTTTGGTCATGTATTTCACTATTCATTTTTTTATAATTTGAAAATTTAGTGTATTAATTAATATCCAAATTTAGTCCTATAACTTTGTAATTGTGAGTTTGTGACAATATAACAAATTTATTTGTCACAGTCGTGCATCGCACGAGACTAATCTAGTATTTAATTACAAGTCTTACCATCTTAGCTATTCATTTATTGTGCTTTTTTATCAAACATTTGATATTTAATGAAAAGTTGTTACTTTAAATTATAAATTTGCAATTTTTTAAATTTTTTATCGAGTGGTACCACATTTTAATAATACATTCTTTCTGTTGGTTGATTTAATAGACATATGGGGTATAATTGTACTCATGTTATGGTTTATTCATTATACATAATAAGTTTTTTAATAAAAAAACTACTTCCCAACTTTATTTAATTGTTGATTATTAGGTTATAATAATTCTTGTAAACCATGCATGTATATGAGTTTGTTGGGGTGGTAACTGGCAATGGGTCGGAGCTAGATCAGATTGAGCTCACCGTTGCCTCCATCTTCCACTTGACCCATCCCTCACCTACATAGCTTCATTCATAATCGATTCATGTTGCACCAACCATTAGCTTTGAAGTGATAATTTTTTATGCAAACAAAGAAACAAATATCCCATGTACACTATACTAGGTCTTCTAATTTTTTGTAAAAAAATTGATAAGGAGAAGGGCTCTATCGGGCCAGAACCTCTAACAGGTCCTCCCGGCCCGAGTTCTTCTAATTCAAAGTTACAACGCACGTTTTATTAAACTCCATCCAATACTTCGTACCACGTATATTCTGAACAAACTTAAAGAAATTTCCTAGGCAAATGTTAACAAACGCTTTGGAAACTTCAGATAAGAAAGTTAAAAGTAAAAATATAAAAAATACTACGTAGAATTCAACATTAATTACACCGATTCATACGTAATTTTGATATGCATTTTCAAACTAACGGTCTGTTTTTTTCAACTTGTTTCCACTTATTTCAGGTGTGATAAGTTTAGATGAGTTTTCAGTTAAGTTCATATAAGTTCAGTTCAGGGAAAATAAATTCTTATAAGAGTTACCCAAATACAAATTACAACTAAAACAAGTTTTAATAAGGTCTAATAAGTTAAGATAGGTCCAGATCAGTGAAAATTAGGTGAATAGAACACATCCTAATACGGTGTACCATTTTAGGAATTCAATGGAACACCCATTAACAAGATCCTTATTACACTAGTAATACTTCGTATTATTACACGGAGTATCTTATTATAATTGTAATATTTTTTTTTGAGATATTATTATAATTGTAATTATCATGTAATATGCGTAAATTTTTTTTTAAAAAAAAATCAAATCAAATCATGTAATACGCGTGAACAGTCAAAGTTGAAGGCATTAATCATCAATAACATAATACTAAAACAGACACCATGAATGACACGTGTCACTTCCTGGTGCTGTATTTTCCCTCCAAAACTGTTTTCTCCTTTATTTTTTTTAAATTTTTTTTTATACTTTTTATTTTAAATATACTTTATATACATTCATCAAATCATCTGATTGTGATTCACTTTCCTAATAAATATATATATATATGTAATTCACATATTTTTCATATCTTTTATTGTATATTATTATTATTATTATTATTATTATTATTATTATTATTATTATTATTATTATTATTATTATTATTATTATTATTATTATTATTATATCTATAACGTAATATTAAAACAGACATTAGGAAGAAATCAACTCTAGAAATATCACGTGTCATAATTTGGTACTGTTTTTTCCTCTAAGTTTTTTTCCACGTTGACATCAACTACTTATTGTAAAATATACTAAAAATATTCACCAAATCATTCACTTACTTTAACAAAATATATATTTGTGATTCACATATTTTCCATAAAATACTATTCTAACGTCTATTACTTTGTATATATATGGGATATATATTATTTCCTAATCCTTATGTAGTATTTTATTCGTTCAAATCTTCAATATATTATATATGCAGTAATTTTGTAACAAAAATAAAAAAAATTATGCGTTTTAGAAATAATTGATTCATACGTGATTATTACTATTACTATTACTATTATTCCCTAAGCCTTCTCTTGTTATTCATATGTTCTCTATTTAGAAATTTCTTATTAGGAAACGACTTCCTAATAGCATTTTTTTTTTACAATATCAATCTTATTTGATTTATTTTTAACTTTTATTATTTATGTATATTAAAATCACGACAAATTAGATATGTTTTCCACTATCCTAAATTGTATCAAATACACTGTAGTAATTATTTATGGTACAATCTCATAGTGTTTAATATACAATTTTAAAATACTTAATTATTTAGTTAATTTATTTGTCTAAACTTATTTGTCTAATTACTCTGTCGTCATTATATTTCATGTTTCATTTCATTATATACATAAAAAAATAAAAAATACTACGTTTATATATTTTGTCTACATGCATTATACAAAATATTTTATTTTTGTTTTTTAAAATTTTTGTGTTGAATTATAAATAATAGTGAAATTAATTACCGTGCATGGCACGGAAACTAATCTAGTTCAGATTTATTAATTTGCCTATGTATTTCCTTCCCATTTATGACGCCATAAATAATTCCTCAAACAACTGTAATTAACAAATAAATCCACTGTTCCACGTAGATTTTTCAATACTATATCATTTATTGGTCCAAGTCCAATCCAACTAAAGTTGTGTCCCAATATCACTGGCTCACCTTCATCATTCTTTATTTTCATTTTTATTTTTCCATTTTTTTGGTGGCTCCAAAACTACTCCGTATACCACACGTATTACAATAATATATTTTGAGTATATTTTTAGGAAGTGGTATATACTTTTATCACCGGTTAATATTTTGGAATTTGTATTTTATTGACTTGATTTATATTCGGATTGCAGAGTACGGAGTATACGTTTATATGCATTGACCGAAAGTTACGCACCTCTTTTTATTCACCCAATAGAAATATAGAAATGCTTAGTGCATGTAACTTGGCCTTCTAGACTATCGAGCTTAACAATGTAAACATATTGGCAATCTACTTATCTACGTAAGATTTAGCATTGCAAGTATAAATTAGCATTAGTGTATTCGTTCTTTAAATATTGCAGTGTTTCTAGCTACTTTGATATATTGCTATCATACTACGTACACACTAGATATTACTTCATGTCGTGTTCACCTTACGAGAATAAGTTCAAATAAGATAGATTTATGTAAAATATACATCTTTCATTAATTTTTAGTTACAACACTTGAAAATTACACTATTCACATTCTTACAATTCAACTTCTTATATTGATTTATAAGTTTGGCAAAATATAGTCAAGGTCTTGTTAGATTCGTCTTAATTTACATCTTCATAATAGATAATCTTTATACTTTTTAATTATTTATGATTAGATATATGAAGGGTTGAAAATCACGCAATTAAAAGTGAACTGAGGAAGTATTCTAATAAGTTTTTATATAAGAATGCTTATTACTCATGTATTTTTTTTAGATAATCTTAAGGCAACTTAAGTGTAATCTACAATTAAAAGTAGTAAGTTTTATTAACTTCAGATAAGATAAAATAAGTCCGAATAAGTAAAATCAGGTGAAAATACAACAAACCATTAATACGGAGTACTCCGTAAACAATGATACAAGCTAAGCTAACTAGCTAGAACTTTTTTCCTGGCCTTCACAACAAATCACAACATTTTAGTGATGAAGTAAAGCACATAGAGGCAGTGGTGTCACCAGGATTTTCGAAGTGTGGGTTCGAAACTTCGGAAATTTGAAATCGTAATTAACAAAGGAATAAAAATATAATAATTAAATATTCAGTACATAAATGAATGAATGATAAATTCAATAATCAATATGAGAATATCAAATTATCAATGAAATAGAATATTAGAAATAAAATAATAAATCAGTATAAATTAAATAGAAATTATACTATTATACGGCATTACGGCTCAAATACTCATTACTCAAATATACAGTCACAACTCACAAGCAGTCAAGCAAAACATCAATTTCTGGAGGATTTTTCCCCAAATCGGCTAATTAAAACCACGACTCAGTTTTTAATCAGCTAACCATATTTAAAAAACCATTTGGGACAAATAAATTATGAAGATTAATTAAAACTATCGTAATTAAAGATTTATAGTTAGTTAGTAAACGAAATGTAGAAGGTAGAAAATGAAATAGTATATGAAAACCAGAAGGCAGTAAACGAAATCTTT